TATCCTTATGTTATGCTAGAGGGCACTCAAAATTTTGTTCTCTAAACAGCTTTCATTTTTATCTAAAGGACTAAAATTAAGATAATCTTAATCTAAATTTTAAAAATTCCAAAAACATTATAGAAAGTTTACACACATACTGTGTCTATTGCTGAAGTAAACTTTCAGTTTACTAAGAAATTAACAAAGAAAAACTACTATTAGTTAATTTGTACTGCATTTAACTTCACAATAGTAAATTGTTAACAAAAGCTTTTTGTTCTAGTTACTACTCAGGTTAACTAAAGCATTGACTCGGCCTTGATTGTTGGCATAAGTCACAGTATTTATGAAATTTAGACATACTTGTGCAAAAGCAACATCTCTTTAAAAATGTACTCACTGTAAGGGGGTTAAAAGGCATTTCTTTCTTTTTTTTTTTTCCACACGAGCACCTTTTTATTATAAAACAAAACAGGTCTGTCTCCGCAAGTGGAAAGAGACAGACTGACTCATTAACTTACTGACTAACTGATTTGTGCAGTCAAGGACAACCTCACTGATAAGGAGCCATTTGAGCCAAGGCCTGAAGAGACCCATGTGAACCAGCATGCAAAAAACGAAATAGTAATCATAGCCGAAGGTGCTACGCTGTTCGTTGTCCATCCAACAGCGAGTTATTCCTTCCTTCTCTCTAACAGAACCCTTCTTCCCTTGCCATCATGCAGCCACGTGATCAGGAGAAAGCTGGAACCCATCTCTAACAGTACGAGTGGATCCCAATTAGTCTAAGCCAATAGTGGCCACCCAACTTCACTTACCAGTGACCGGTTCAGGAAGCCAGGTTTAAGCCAATCAACACAGGGAATTGCCCTGGGCACTGTCATCGGTCCCAAAGGAGGCACATAAACCAAGCTGGCCTAAGTAGATTTATATTTCTGTTTGCGGGAGGAGGCTTTTTCCCCTGTCCATGATGGATGTGAACAAGGAAGAATGTTGTCAGAGCTGCACAGGATTGGTGACACAGCCATCTCTGGACACTGAGGGAAGCCTGGAGACAGAGTCAACACAAAGAAGAAGGCAGAGCTGGGAGCACTGCAGAGAAAAGGAGTCAGAGCCCAGATTATTCCATGCCTGGAGACTGCTGCACTTCAAGACTCCCCATTATGTGCAATGAAGAATCTCCTTACTCTTTACGCCAGTACGAGTTTGGGTTTTTATTCCTTAGTGTTTAAAAGGTTCTTGCTTATGAAAATAAAAATAATAGCAGCCAACATTTCTTGAGAATTACCTTGTGCCAGGCACATTTATATTTGTAATTTTGTTTAACGTTCTTGACAATCTTATAAGGCAAATACACTATTGTCCTTATTTGTAAAATGTAAGTGATTTTGCTCAAGGTCATGTGTGTAATAAGTGGTAGAACCAAATCTGTTTTTGTTTGTTTGTGAAACAAAGTCTCGCTCTGTTGCCCAGGCTACAATGCAGTGGCGTCATCACAGCTCATTGCATCCTGCAACTCCCGGGCTCGAGTGATTCTCCTGCCTCGGCCTCCCGAGTAGCTGGGACTACAGGCGTGCACCACTACCCCCAGCTAACTTTTCTATTTTTGTAAAGATGGGGTCTTACCATGTTGCTCAGGCTGGTCTTAAACTCCTGGGCTCAAGTGATCCTCCTGCCTTAGCCTCCCAAGTCACTGGGATTATAGGCATGAGACACCCCATCTGGCGGAACCAAAATCTTTCAGAGCTCAGAGCCTGTGCTCTTAACCACTATGATGGTTCCACTGACAGATGAGGCAGAGAAAGAGAAAGAGGAAGGAGCTTGTGAAGAGGCCACAGGAAGAACAGGAGATGGTGATATTATTATTAATTTTATAATTATTAGTATATAATCTTGTTATCTCCACCTGGAATACCTCATCCCTGGGACGCCCTTGCCCCCATGCCCACTTCTCTGCCTAGGAACTTCTATTTGTTCTTTAAGAACTTGACTCAGATGTCACCTCCTCTGAGGAGCCTTCCCACATCCCATCTCCCCAAACCTCCAACCCTCTGGAATCCCACAAAAATTTGCTCAGATTTCTTTTATAGCCCAGGTTATAAAGTGCTCATTTTCATACCTCCTCCTTGTACTAAATTCAGAACTCCTTGAGGGCAAGAGCTATGTCTAATTATTCCATGTGGTTCCAGTGCTTAGCTCAGCTCATTGCAGGTGCTCAGGGAAAGTGAGATTGAATCAATCATCACATCTCAAGGACCCTCTGTCTCACCAGGTACCATGCTAAGAGACGTAAGGTTAAAAAGATCAGGCCTTTGGCCCTTTAAATTTCATAAACAAATTGAGGATGTGTTCTTATCTTTCAATTCTACATTATAGAAACCCAACACAAACTAACTTAAAAGGAAAAAAAGAATGAGGGCAGGGGAAAGAATTTATTTGTCCTAGGCAGGTTACTTCTGTTAATAGTTTCAGGAATGGCTGAATCTAAGATCCAAGGGTTTCCAACAATGTTATCCTCCAGATTAGGTCTCTTTCTATAATCTGCTCTTGGGTGGCTTCATCCTCAGGAATTTCTTTTTCCATGTGAAAGCCCCTCGCAGCTCCATGTTTACATCCAATTGTAGCAAAAATACAGCTTTTTATGCCAATGGTCCTAGCAAAAGTCCTAGGAGTAATTCTCAATGCTTTTAATTGATTCACCTGCCCTTCACTGAACCCATGATAGTAACTCTGAATAGGCCTTTGTCACATGCCTATCTCTGGATTTGGAAGTGGGGTTGACCCCATCCAAATCATGTGGATTAAAAGTGAGGAAAGGTTGTTCACCAGAGGAAAATCAAGTTGCTGTTACTAAAAGGGGGAGAAGATATTAGGTAAGCAAAAACCAACACATGTCCTCCACAGAGGAGATGTCCTATACATCAGTAATTACATGGTAAGGCTAGGAGTGATGCCTGTCTTAAGTGCTTACGGCCAAAGATTAGGTAGGAGAAATGGATCACCTCAAGGACAGCTGTCCACAAACACCTTCTAGGAGGAAGCTTATGAACTATGCCTTTTGGATAGGTAGGATTATGGTAGATGAAGATGAGGAAACCTTTCAGGTATGTGGAAAGGCATGAACAAAGGCAAGGAGGTAAGGATCCTTTGGAGGTTTTCCAAGTTTGCTGGGAACTTTTGGGAATTAAGTCTGGAACTTTGGCTGGGGGCTAGATCTCTACATAGTCTAATAAGTGCTAATCCTTTATGCAGATTTCTTCCATATATGATCTCACAAAAGAGTAATTTTGGCAGGCACCAGGAGTAGAATTATTCTTCCCATGTTACCGATGGGGCAAGTGAGGACTAGTGCAAGAGATGCCTGCTGAGAATTCACCCTCTTGTGTCCAGAGACCGAACAGCACAGGAAGACCAATTTCTGCCCTCCAGCCCAGGACTGTGCCCCTCCCCCCATCCACAGCAAAAATAAAATCTGGGGTTGGAAATTACCAGGACAGCAGCTGTCACTCAGCCCCAGGGCCAGCATGAGGACACCTTTGGAGGAAGCTGTGGGAACAGCCATATAGGCAGAAAGAAGGTATCTGACTTGCATAATGGCTAAGAACAGAGACTCTGGAGTCAGGCCTGGTTTTGATTCTCAGTTTCATGAGTTAAGGTGTTACCTTGGGCAGATTACATAACTTCCCTAAGCTTTAGTTTCCTCATCTGTAAACAAGGTAAAGAACAATACCTATGTTATAAGATGGTTCATGGGGTCTGAATGAGGTATTGCATATTAAGAAGTTAGCACTCTCCTCCTTGTGTGGTCTGGTCTCCTCTTCCTCATCTGTTCTCATCTCCTCTGCGTCGTCTGGTCTTGTCTCCTCTTCCCTGTCCAGTTTCATCTTCTCTTCCTGATCTGGTTTTGTCTCTTCTTCCTCTTCCAATCTGGTCTCCTCTTCCGGTCTGGTCTCCTCTTCCAGTCTGGTCTCCTCTCCCTCATCCGATCTGGTCTGATCTCGTCTCATCAACCTCATCTTGTCTTATCCTAAAAGTCATTTCTTAAGTACCTAATTGCTTTTTGGAAATATAGAATGAACTCAATCATAAGTGAATTTTCTGATTGTCTATCCCCCATTTAAACTGCCCGTCTTATTAGTAACATAAAAGTTGCAGAAGCCAGGCTCAGTGGCTCATGTCCATAATCCTGGCACTTTGGGAGGCCAAGGTAGGAGGATCACTTGAGGCCAGGAATTTGAGACCAGCCTGGGCAACATAAAAAGATCCCATCTCTATAAAAAAAAGTTTTAGAAAGACAGTGTCACTTAGTACGGATGTTAATTTTGAACTACCTCTGGAGTAGTGCCCATGAACTACTTAAAGGATAGAATACAGTCTTTAATTAAGGCAAGCTCCATTATTTTTTCAAAAATATTTGAAAGCAAAAGATAAATATTTATCAAATGCTTAACTAATATTTATTTCTGAATCTAGTACCTTTATTTGGGTTTGATTTTAATGAAAATAATGTTTAATATTCAATTTTTCTCTGTAATTGATTAAAAAGAGATATTCCTAATTGGAAGTTCCTTTTCCTAACCATTTATTTATAAGTCTTAGAAAAAACTGGTGTGAACTTTGCTCTGTTACTTTAAGCCCTGTGAGTCCTGAGGTTTTAGAAGCCAGGAAACAAAGTGCTCTGTCCTGGTTAAAGAACATTGTGTTGGGATTTTGTACATGAACAGACAAGCAAGTAATTAAATTACAAAAGCAGCACCTTGTCTTTTATGTTAAGAATAATTTTCTATACTGTAGCCATTTTCTCCTCGAATAACCTTTTGTTTTTGTCTGCAAACCTTGAAACACAATCTGGTTTCATTGTTTTTTGACTCGTTAGTGCGCTGATGGTCGTGCAGAAGGTTTATCCACGTGTCACAACTAACGAAGGTTTCAGAACCCTCCAGAAATCTGTTAAACATCTGCTGTACACTCTGGACTCCCCAGCTCAAGGTATTATATTTCCATCTTCCTGTATTAAATTCAGTGTCACAAAGCCCTTTGGAAATATAAAGCAGAGTGCAACTGAAGTAATCATGTAGAGATGATATTATTCTTAGGTGGGGACATATGCTACGAATAAATCTGGATCTCTAGTTAATCAAAGTGTGGAGAAAGGGAGAAATTAGGCAAAAAGAGGGAAGTGTGACTTTCTAGGGGTTTTATTTAGGTGAAATGATCTCTCTTAGCTTGTAAAACTATGTTTATACTTGGTATAGAAAATAAATATTGGGGAATAAGCCTCGACAAATAGATTTCTATCACTACTTTTTGGAACAAAAGCCTAAACTGAATTGCAGTGTTTTTGCTCTCATTTCCACACTTTAATTTTTTAATCAGGAGGAATCTTTCATTTATAAACACGTACCCCGCAGTCAGCCATCTTGAAAAGGCATGGTGAACTTCAGCACACGAGCAGATCGGTATGAATCCACTGTTGCCCCAGTAAGATGAGGTATAGCAGGTTGCTAGTGAGTCAGAAGATGTGCCCTGGCCATATATAGATTCAGCCTTACCTACCACTCACGTGGAAACACACACAGATATATACACAGACAGAGACAAGGGTTTAGGGATGTAAGGAATAAATGCCTACTTGCCAAGTGAAATGTTTGGTTAACATTTACCTCTCCTGAATGAATTTAGAATTATGCTTCCTTAACCGAGTTTGTCTCCTTTTAGATATATATACTTTTACCTTTGGATTACAAAGTAAGCATCCTGAGAACATCAGGTCAAAAGCTGATTATTCATTATATAGTCTTAAAATATCGATTTTCATGTGAAAAACACATTTGTGAAGGCTTAGAAGAATTCTCGGTATAGGTTCCAACATGCTCTTGGATACCAGTTTCTATTACCCTGGAGCATTTTTTTATGTCTACAATTACAGAATTAATGATTAGTTTGCAAGACTGACCGTTGTTAAATTTAACATTCTTGGCGAACATTAGAAATAGAGGCTTACTCTTAAAAAAAAAAAAAAAGTCCAGGCTAGGAAACCAGACAGCCCACAAACAAACACTAATTATATCCTCTGTATTCTTTTTATGTTTGCATTTTAAAGATTTGAGGAACTTCATGTTTCTCCTAACCATCCTTTCCCTTTTCATCTTCAGACTCACACCTTATAATAAATATAAAGGGATAAAGTTAATTTTTTTGAACAAAGGACAAAAGCTCACCGGTGCCTTAGAAGCTGGAGAAGTAAGCAGTACTCTTATTAACTAGGCAGCAAAATACTTTTCCTTCCCTTTTACTTTTCATTCCCTCAGGTGAACAATAGAATTCAGTTTTCAATATTTAACAATGGCCTTGTCTTAGGTCTATGAATATGCTAATGATGTTGGCAAGTATCCAAACATGGTTTTGGTGGTCAAGAGGACAAAGAAATACATCAAGGAAATGTATTTTTATCTGTAAAATGTAATGTGCTTAACTTTTGTTTGTTTTTATATGCCATGAACTTGTGACTTCATAAGACTGGGGATAACAATGCAGATGTATTAATGTCAATTCCTAAAAGTTATTAAACCCAAACCCCTACCTGCTTGAACAGAAATTTTATTGCCTTTGAAAGAAAATCCTCCTAGATATTTCTGGGAATCCTTCAGGGAACTCAAACTTGTCACTGAAGGCTGAACCACTGATTCCAGTTCAACAGTGCAGAAGTCTCTGGCCCCATGTACAGATACCTGCCCCATTGCCCAGGCTACCCCATGCTTAGTCTTCATGGTGTTCAGCAGTATTTTTGAAGCAAACACACTTTCTCCCTTGATTTTATACTCTGTTATGCTGAAGTGGGGTGGTATGTCATAGTGGAATTGCTTGGGACCTCTCTAATGTATCATGGGGTGAAGATAGCTTTGTGGGTCTCATGCCCCTCTTAAAAATAAGGAAAATAATAGGCAGTATTTATTGTGTCAACTCTGAGTGCTTTATTATCTTAAATTCCTCTTATCATTAAAATAACTCTGTGAGATACAGTTATTATCCCATTTTACAGGCAAAGGTACTGAGGCATGAAAGGGTGGGCACTTTGCTTGTGTTACATGTCCAGCAAGTGGCTAAACTGAGATTAGAACCTGGATATGTCCATCCCCAAGCCAGGTCCCTTGAACTCATTTATAAATGGCCTCACTTACATTTTCTTTCCGGGACATATACACACTTGCTTCTAGGGTATCTCACTGGGACATGCAAGTACCTGGTTGGCCACTTCCAGCCACTGCTGGAGATTGGCTTCTCACGCCCTACTCCTCCCCACATGATACATCTTTTCAGAGCCACGTCCCATTCCTTTCCGCACTCTGCTTTCCACAACCTCCCCCCACCCCATGTGGATCTCTGCTCCAACCTGAATTATGAGCACACTGCAAGGTTTCTTCAGAAGCCTTCTCAGCAACTGTGAAAATACGGAGATGCTAATAAACACTGGAAAATAAGGTTGTCTCCCCACTTCCCGTCTTAAGGGATCTAATTCTCAGCTTTGTCCCAGGTAGGGTCTCTGCTACACGGTTAGTAAGCTCTAGTATTTCCATTTATAAATGCTGAGTTTGAGGAGCAGAGATTACCTGTGTGACTCACTGGAATTTGCTCTTTTGCGAAGTAGTAAATTATATTAAATTATATGTTTAAATGAAAAGCAGTCCTTTTTGAGGAAAAGAGGTTATCCATGCACTGGATTTCTTTCTATGTCTATGGGTACCATTTTAAACATGCCTACTCCTACAAATAAAAAAGAAGTAAAATAAAACTTTTTAAATCTCTTTCTACTTCATAAAGGCCTGTTTAGTACAGTATTTCTTTCAAGATACTTGATAGTCCTCAGTGGCTAGAGGGAAAAGTCCCTAATTAACCTCAGCGTCAAGTCTATCATTGAGAGTATAAAGTTGATTTTCTATTAATTACTTATTTTAATAGCTTGATGAAAAAGAGAAATTCTATAACCACTTAGTATATAAATGTCAATTAACTTGCTCAGCATCACATAGGAGTTCAACATGAGCAAGATTTGATCTTGGAAAAAGAGTTTTATATACTTTTACATTGCAAAAGCATAAATCTCAACAGATTTCTGTCTTTGGTTATTCTATATGTGGAAGCCAATAAATAATAGGTATTACTACATTTAATTAGGTTTATTTATTCTGGGCATCTTCATTCTTGGTCCTTTTACCTGCTGATGCATTGCTAGCATTAGAGCAATAACACTCCGCTGTACCTTGGGCACAGCTCTGGAAAACTCCACTCTGCTGAACAGGACAACTGAAAAAGCCACTCCACCAGTCTCTAGGGGCCACACAAACATTGCTTAAACATGACTGATACAAGGCCAGGCGCGGTGGCTCACGCCTGTAATCCTAGCTCTCTGGGAGGCCGAGGTGGGAGGATTGTTTGAGCTCAGGAGTTCGAAACCAGCCTGAGCAAGAGGGAGACCCCATCTCTACTAAAACATAGAAAGAAATTAATTGGACAACTAAAA